AACATTGGGTGGAACGGGGTTAGAATTAATCGAATTTGAACCCAACTTACCCTTGGTGGCCGAATGGGATGGAATGGATGAATTTTGGTCCTTAAGTGCTTGCGGCAAAGGTGTTTGTACCCTTGCTGTGGGCATGGCTGCCTCCTCCTCTTCATGTTGCAGCTTCTCCTCTTCATTCAGACTTGATTTGGGTGGTGTGGATGTAGTGCCAACTTCTTTTCCACTCCTCAAAGTGATTGCTTTGGCAGATTCGAACCCTCCCTTTGGATTGACAATGGTTGAGCTTGGGAGCTTGCCTTGGTCTCGGAATTGCCCTACAAACTCCGCAATCTGCCCAATTTGCTTCTCTAAGTGGTCCACCCTTTTGTCTTGGTTTTGCATCGCCTTTTCTTGGTTTTGCAATGCTTTGTTTTGATTTTCTTGCCCCTGAGACAAATTGGTAAGTAACTTAAGAAGTGTAGCATTATCTAAAGACGTACCTTGATGGTTTTGGGTAGATTGGGGTTGGGTTGAATCATTGTCGTAGGTTTTGGTGTAAAAGCCTGGGGGTTGCTGCCTAAAGCCTCCTTGTTAGTGAGGTTGTTGAGGCTCTCTCCACTTGAAGTTTGGATGGTCTCTCCAACCCGAATTGTATGTATTGGAATATGGATCATTCCTTGGCTGATTTTGGCTTGGAAATCCAATAGCGTTTGCACTCTCCCATCCCCCGTTCTCAATCAATTGAGGGCACTTTTCCGAAGGGTGTCCTTGGATAGAACATACGCCACATACAATTGGTCCTTGGATCTTCATTCCTTCGGCCATCTGAGACACAATAGAAGTAAGATTAGCTAATTGAGTTTGAATGTCGGATTAAGAACTTACCTCATGCACTTGTTGCCGTGGGGGGTCTCTTTGCCCAATTCCTTCATATTGTTGTGCATTGAGAGCCCGATTCGCAATTAGGTTCTTGGCTGCCATGGGAGTTTTGTCCACCAACGCACCTCCTGCCGAGGCATCGAGCATTTGCCTTTCAATGGGAAGAAGACCTTCATAGAAGTATTGAAGTAAAAGCTCCTCTTTCATTTGATGTTGAGGACATGATGCAACAAGGGCTTTAAAACGCTCATAGTACGTTGGAAAAGACTCCCTTTGACTTTGTTGGATTCCGCTAATCTTCTTTCTCAAGAAAATGACTCTTAAAGTAGGAAAGAACTTCTCAAGAAACGCCCTCTTCATGCTGTCCCACGAAGTGATCGTTCCGGGTGCTAGCTCGTATAACCAATCCTTGGCCTTCTCCAAGAGTGAGAACGAAAAGGCCTTTATCTTCAAAATACTACTATCAACATTAATTGGAGTCATGCTAGAACACACCACCTCGAACTCCTTCAAATGCTTGTTGGGATCCTCCATGGACAATCCATGGAACTTCGGAATGTGGTGCAACAAACTTGACTTCAATTCAAATTCGTCGGTTTTGTCTTGAGCCGCCCTTGGGTATTGGATGCATAAAGGTGCGGCATTGTCCATTCCCGAAGCGGAAAGCTCATTGATTGTACGGTTGTCCGCTGCCATGGTGTGGACCTCTTCTTCCTCCCTTGTCGTGGGTTCCTCTTCCTCATCAAGATTAGAAGTCGAACTAGAACTTGATGGGTGAAGTTCTGGGTCCTTCTTCTTCCTTCTCAAAGTGCACTCAAATCGTCGTCAAAATCCAAGATGTTTGCACTAATAGGTTGAGAACTATGAGTCATACACTAGTACCTACAAACAAGAAAAGAAATAAGGTCAGTAGCTAAAACAAAAATATATGAAAAAGAAACAAAAAGAAACAACGGGGGATTAGCAAAGTTGCTAATCCCCGGCAACGGCGCCAAAAATTTGATGTGATATATAATAGCACACAAATTAAACCCTCTTTTTGACAATTGTAGTATAGATATAAGTAGGGATCGTTCTAGGCCGGGGATTAGGAGGGATTGCTAATCTAATGAAAATCGACTCAAAGATGTAAAAATATGCTTTAAAACACTTAAACAAATTCAAAAGACTCTTAACTAAATTTGTATGACTCAAAACAAACTTCAAAGACTCAAAACAACTCAAAACAATAAAAAAGACTCAATTTAGACTCTAGGACTCAATTTGGACGAAAATACAATTAGTTTTGACTCAAAAGACTCCAAAACACACTTTTGGACAGATTTGGAGCAAGTAAGAAGAGGGGATTTGATTTTGGACGAATTTAAAAGAAAAACAAGTGAATTAAAAACTTAAAACAGATTTTGATGAAATTAAGAAAAACCAATGGATGATGGAATAGCCAAGGGATACTTCTCCACACATGATACATTCAAACATAAATTGATTTCCAATTGCTTTTCCGATAAACCATGAACCTCAACACCCCAGATTAACCGTGACATCACTAATTAACCCTCAGATTTCCCTTAAGTTAGTGGATTGGATGACATCATACGACAACCCAAAGCATTCTTCAAAAGGTCCCCTACATGACATCATAATAGAGATACCATCAAAGATCATTACGTTCAATGGAAATCATAAGTATTGACAAAGCACTTGTAACTATGACATCATGATACTCATGCTAGGAATTTACTTAACATGATTGTGAAAACAACATTAACTACTTGTGAATATAAGTTTGTGACGATTATATGAAACTCCCTTATATTCTAGCACAAATTCAAGCATGCAAATTAAGTAGGCCTCCCTAATCGACATACAAGAATAAGTTATCCATCAAACGGTTAAGTAAATTGCATTCACAATTTATGAAATCACAACTGGAATTTATCAACTCATATTATAAACGTAATCATGGTTTCAAAGCATCCCTAGGCTAAAACGAGTTTAGCTTCTCATGTTCATAACAAAACAAAGGAAAATAGAATTAAACATTGAAAACAAAAGATAGATTACACCTAAAAACGTTCCAACACTCCAACTTGAATGCACAAACGTCCAAGGCTTCGTCTTCCTTCTCTTCTTCCTTGCTAAGTCACGGCACAAAAGTCTAAGGTGGTTTTGTGGATGATTTTCTGGGTTTTGAATGGATTTAGGAGAGTAGGGTGGTGCGGCAAAGGTTATGGAGGGTGTATGGAGGCTTGGAAGAAGGTATAGAAGTGGGAGAATGGTGGAAAGCTTGATGGAAGGCTGCGGCAAAGGACTTTGGTTATGTGAATGATGACAGGTTGTATGGAAGGGTGATTAGGGTTCAATAAGGGTGCGGCATAGGGGTTTTATAAGGAAGAAAGAATCCTAAGACTTTATTACTTAGTTTAGGAAAGGAATTAACTCCAAATCCTTAAAGAATAGGAAACACAAAGTCAAAAATTAAAGGGAAAAGGAAGTAACTTGCGGCAAAGGAGTGCAAGAAAGGGAATGCTCTTTATTTCTGAAATTAGGCAAGGATTTTGGAATAGAAAAGGGTATGTGAGTTATGGCTGAATTTGATATGAAAAAGGAATGTGTTTTAATGCTTTAGAATAGGAAAGATGGCCCTCCCTTGCACGGCAAGGAAGGGAAACTCTAAGGGGGATACACGGCAAGGAATTTATGTTGCAAGGAAACTTTGTTTTGTGTCCTAGAATGGATAGAAGTCCTTAATGTTGCTGAAACATTGAGTCTTTAAGGATTAGGAAAGGTTAAACCAAAATAGGAAATCTTGGCTTAACTTTCCTACTTCAAGTAGGAAACCTTCTTTGACTAGGATTCCTCATGTGATTAGGAATCCTCTTGTGATTAGGAATCCTCTTGTGATTAGGAATCCTTTTATGATTAGGAATCCTAACTCTTTTAGGTCTTCAATTTCGTCCATTCCTTTTGCTCCAAGCATAAGCTATCCATTCCAAGTCCAATTTTGCTCCAAAATGCTCCAAAATGCACCTTTTTGCTTCTTTAGCCATGGGAACCTAAAAACACACGAAAATGGCTTAAACTACTAAAACAACTATAACTTAACAACATAAATGCACGAAAACAAGCTAAGTAAGTCGCCTAAATATGCTCCTATTACGGAGAATGGTGAGCTCTGCTTGAGATAATCTCATTTGTGCTCCAAAAATACAAGTTTTGTCAGAAAGTGCAAGACTGGACCTACGCCTGGCCCAAGAAGATCGAACACAAGCATAATGAAGAGGGTCAAACCTTGCATTCTTTAAGTCAACAGTCCCCAACTAACTAGGTTAGTCGCCTCAATGGAGAGAGTTGTATGTGTCAAGGCCTTGACTACACCATAAGTACTAAGTCGAATCCTAGAACTAACAAAAAGGGTATCCAATCGGTAGGTTCGTGAAACCCATACAGACGGAGAGTAAGGGCAAAAGCTTTGAAATTGGGAGTTGTGAGGCTTGCCCTAACAGTCTTTTTAAAAGATGAATCATGAAGATATGCTTCCATCACGGGTTTGGGATGGCTTTTAAGGCATAAAATAAGTTAGAAGTAATCCATTTGCAATGGTTAAAGAAGTTGTTTTCTCATAATATTAAGGTGGAGAGCTTTTTGAGCAAAGACAGAATATGAAGAAAGCCTTAGGGTTTTATAGATGAGTAAGGAGTAACTTTGGGGTATGCTTTGTAGCCATTATGATTATAAAAATCAAATAGCTTGGGCCAATCTTCACATTGCCCAACATTTGTTTTAATGGCGGTTTGATTTCTCTACATCATGAAGAGCCTTGAGACTGAAGGAAGCTGAGAAGTCCCTCTTCACCCACTCTTGAAAAATCCAGCGCTAATCTTGAAAGCCTTGAAGCTCGAAGGGATGCCTTGAAGAATTCAGCCTCGTCTTAAGTTTCCTGAACTCTTTGAAGAGCTTAGGCAAAGATCCGGTTGCAGGAGTAGGTGCAGAGGGTAAAGGCATTTCTCCAGCTTTGTCAGAAGATGCAACAATTGAAGCGATCTCGGCAAGAGGAGGCAGCCCAGAAGTTGGAGCAGAGGTAGCAGTGATGGTAGTAGCCTTAACTTTCTTCTTTGGCCGAGGGGATCAGATTTATGTACCAAGGGTGGAGGAGACTGGCCCGAGCCTTCTCCAAGACCCTGTTCAACCAAGAGGAATAGGTTAAGTGAAGAGTCTACAATTCAGAATGGAGGAAGGCAAGATAAGAGAAGTTAATATACCTGAGTTGAACTTAGATCCTTGGAATGAGGAGGAGTTGGTTCCCTTGGTTGATAAAGGGAATCATCATTGCTTGCTGGAGAGGGAGAAATATTGCCCGAGCCTTCACCAAAGGCCTACAAATGTCAAAAGAAAAACAAATGTTAACAATTTGGTTTGCAGAAGGTGAAAAAGTCTAAATAATAGTATACCCGAGGTTGGGAGATAGACATTTCTGATGCCACGGCTGCATCAGTAGAAGCAGGCCAAGAAGCCCTCGGGCTAGGTACCTTCGAGACCACGGGGATCACAAGAACTATAGGTTCCCAAAAGGCTGTTGCTGCTGGTTGATGAAGCTTCTGCCCTGGGGATGGCTAAGAAAAACAAGATAGAAAATAAGTATAAATAAAAAGGATGTTTAAAACAGGAAGATTCAAGTTAAAAGTACTCACCGGATTACTGTCGTCTTCCACAAAGTGCAGCATCTCCCCATTTGATAGGTCAAACTGGGAAGTCGGAGCCACCACCAAAGGAGAAGAAGTTGAAGGAATAGAAGTAGAGCTTTGCCCGACTAAGGATGCAGCTGTTCCAACCTTGGCCTACAAAAATAAAAGTCAGGTATTAAAATTCTAAAAGTGATAAAAATACAAGTTCAAGAGAGGGAATAAGATATTTACCTTTGAGGATCTAGTCCGAGAAGAAGAAACGTGCGTCATTCAGGCTGGGAAAGCCTCGGGCTGTGAGATCCTTTCTTCCCTTATGGCCTGTTTCAGGCAGTCGGGCAGAAAATTAATAAAAGAAGAAGGGGAGAAAGAGAATGAAAGACTTCAAATGAACAATTTGAAATGTAGGCCATACCTCCAATTCTTCCAGGGTGGTATCATGAAGATCCTTAGCCTTTTGGTGCATCTTCATGCTCAATGGCTCCTCCCTTGAGGCAATTGCAGGCTTCTTGGTCGCTTACGGTCTTGATTTCAAAGAAGAAAGAATTGTTAACCCGTAAAGAGAGATTGCAATTAAACAGAAATGGACGGATAACTTACTAGAAGCTTTCTACTTTTTTCTGCTCGTCTAAGATGCAAAGGCAATAGAAAACTTAGAGGATTTAGCCCTGGTTCTCTTCTTCGTAGGGGTTGTATGCGGACCAGGTATGGAGATTTGAGCTCGAGGTAGCTCTTCGGGCTCGAACTCTGAAGTTTCCATTATTGTTGCATGTGTTCGACGTGTTGCCCAAGGCTCCACTACAAGCTCGGCCTCATCCTTTGAATCTCCAAATAATTCGTAGACATCGCTGCCTGCCTAGCACCTTGTCCCTCTGCCTTAGCCGCAGCTTCTTGGAGGACAAAGGCGTCTGCAGCATCTTCATCTTGCCCGATGTCTATCTCTGCAGAGTTGCCTTAGGCTGTAAGTGTAAAGAGACCAATAAGAAGATTAGAAGAAAGCAGATTCATGAAATATCATAGAATACAAGTCGAGAAAATTAAATGATACCTATTAGAATAAGTTGATTCTTTTGATGGATCATCTTCTCCCAACCTTCAAGCTCACTCGGCTTGGGATAGGACTTGATGGTAATGTGCTTGAAGATGAGGTCATGAGACTCTTTGAGTTCCCTTTCATACTTCTTGGTCTATTTAGCTTCCCACCAAGAAGAGAATAAGTGAGTACACTCAAAGTATAAAGCAATGGGCTTGCGGGCAACCTTGTTCAATACTTCAAGACTGCGTTAAGCAGCTCGACAAGTGATTTCTTGAGGAGAGCGAAGGCGATAAGAGGTGCCGCAATAAACTGAGTCAAAATAAGGGATGGGATGGCTTGCCTAAAGCCTAACTGTCTAGCGCAAAAGTTGGGGTGATAAACCTTCAGCCCGCGCTCGTAACGATTGCTGCGTACTCCCCATGCCAGATCCTTTGACTGGATACAGCTGATAAATCTTTCTTTACAGAAGAGGTTGGCATCTTCTCCAAATGCGTCTTGAAAGGCTTGGTCAGAAAACCAAAGATGCCTCTTAAGGAATGAAGCTCCCCACTCCAAGTCTACCCGAGTTATGCAGACTCTTGAAGAAGTATAGGCAAGAAAAGATAGAGTGGTTGGTGAGTGAGGCCTCGACTAGAATTCGGGCAGAGGCCACTACTTCTAGAAATTCAAGATTGGGTGTCCGAAGCTTGGGGAAGTACCATTGCAACTATAATTAGACCATCCAGGTTGGCCTATTGAGGTTAGTTTCAATGGTTTTCCCCGAGTCATCTCGAAGAGAAGATGGTAGAGATGAAAGAGAATGAAGGGGCCCGTTGCCATGTCATCAAAGTTGTGAAGAGCTTCCACTAGAGGGATCCATTCGACCTTCATTTCCTTAGATTTATTGGGAAAAACATGTTTGTTGAGCCAGTACAATAAAAAGTACATGTGCTCTTGATCTCTGTTGGCAGTGAAGGAGGTTGGGCCAAAACTCTTATTCGCAAACGGGCTGAAGCCTGTAAATGAGGTCCCATAACTCTTGAAGGTTGAGGAGTTAGACTCTATTTGAAGAAATGGGGCAGAGCTACTCGAGCTTTCTACGATCGAATAGGAAAAATGAGACCAATCGTGGGTAACATCCACAACTCTGCCCAATGGCCTCAGCTTGAAGACTTGGGCCATATTTAGGATCGTCAAGGACATAAGACCCATCCTGAGATCAAAAGTATTTGTCTCCAAGTTCCAAAAGAGGAGAGATGTGGTCAGCAGCTTGGGCTTGGCAATAACGGTAGTCTTCAAGAGCATTATCAGCTCGTATACACCGTTGTTCATCCATTTTTTCTCGAAGATAGGCTCGAGCTCATTTATCCACTATGCCCAGCCTTTATCCTTTATTAGAGGAAAACCACGATGGTGGTTCGACCACTTGGAAGCCAAAATGCCTGACTTAGCCAAGTAAGGGTTGAGAGTGAACCACTTTGCCTTGGGCATATTGTTCTCCAAGGCAATTGGGACTTGAGAAATCCATGCAAGTCCCAAAGAGTGTACATCTTCCTCCTCGAACAAACGCGAGGTTTGCAGGCCAGCCTAAGGGTGATGAAGTTCGTTAAGCAAACGACGCATAGTGGCAATGCCCTAGCTAGTTTCATAAGAAGATTGGGTAGTTTTGGGTTTCATTGGAAGGTTTTGGAAGGCAATTAAGATTATGAGGCAAAATTTGAGAAAGCAAGAGGAATTCTGGAAACTCTGAAGGTTCTGAGTATTGGCCATGTCAGCAGTGCCATGTCAGCAGTGCTACCTAGGCAAACGTTAAGTTGGTGTAATTGAGATGTAGTATAAAAGTAGCTTTCCCTCTCATTGTATTTTTTAGAATAAGTCGGTTGTATTGTAAGAAAAATAGTTATCAAATTCTTCTTCCTCAAGCTTCTGCTTTTAGGTTTTCTGATTTTTCATAGATTTGTAAATCTTAATTCACAGTGTTAATATGGTATCAAGAGCTAGTCTTGACACACTCCGACCCTAATCGAGGCATGCTGGCCGTTAAGTGAGGGTAACGTAGACATGTGCGCTGTGCGGAAATGAACGTGATATGAAAATATAGATAAATAAAAACTTGCTAACTAATTACACTAGACTAACATATCGGTGCGAGTGAAAATGTTTAGAGTAAAGGACACACATCACCACAGCGTAGGTATCAGAATGCAATCTAGAAGTTTAATTACAAATTATACAGATCATAAAAGAAACCCTACACTAGTAAATGTCTATCAAAACCACTATGAAGTCCTTGTGAGCAACTGACACGAACTTCTATCTAGAACCTGGAGAGGTGTAAAACAGAAAGTGTGAGTGGGCAAAAACAAAACTTTCAAGACCATTTATCTTTTCAAATGTAATAACCCTTCACTATAAAACCCATATAAGTTTCCCAGAAAATAATAATATAAACATATATGAAAACTATACTCGAGAATAAGCAAACTATGTGTGTGCCATGACAATCATCTAAACCACGAATAAGTAAGCTAAGTGAATTACACTAATATAAAGTGACATATCAACCAAAGCCACCTAACGTGACATGTATGGCTGAATCTATAACTCAACAATCAAATCAAATCCTGCACACATGTCGAAACCACCTATGTGGTCTATACGACAGGCTAGGTGTAAATAAGTACGCTCAAGTGCTACAATCACGTGAAGGCTATGCGAAGTATCACAAGTCACCTACGAGTAGGAACCACCTAATGTGGTCTGTACGACAGGCTGGCAGTTGCCTTGGATCCAAGGTGAGCGTATGGTGCGAGAGGCGAACGATCACGTGAAGGCTAGGCCCTACCCTCGGGCGGAGCACTAACACTGGGGTGCAGGATATAAATCACTAAAAGCACCTCAAAATAATCATACACACTACCATCACAACCATCGCTACATACTCATCTGAAGCTTACCTGAGCATCCACAGCGTCGAGCAGTATTATGCCCAGCTATATTAAAGCATATTCTAATATGTAATGCATACGACATGGCATTTAAAACGTAAAAACCATTTAAATAGTTTCTGGGAAACATAAGGCATATGTATGTGTGTGTGTGTGTGTGTGTGTATATCTATAACCCAAAAGCCCACTCACTGGTATATAGTCGGGTCGTAACCCCCAAGTCTCGCCTGGCTACGCTCGTCCTTTGGAAAAGTCTCACCTATATGTGAAACAACTATTTTAACGTTACTTTTAAGCACATAACCAAAACCATGTAATAAGTTATCATATGTTGCTCAATTACGGTGATTGAGTATACCATTGTGGCCTACTCAACACCACGAGCATCCCCATATTTTTAGAAAAATTTTCTAACATCCCACGTGCCCTCACGCTCCAGCCATACGTGCCGGCCACGCGCGGTCACATGCCTGGCACGCTGACGGTAACCCTAAAACCATTAGGGAATATTCCATTAAATACTAGGATATTCTGTTAAATATACCTGACATTGTTAAGAATATTCCGACAAGGTTAACGGAATATACTATGTCTTTTCCCGTGGTTCGCCGAATTCCGTCGTCGGCCGCCGCTGCACTTACCGGTTTCTAGAAAAACTTTGAACCTCAATATCTCCGTCGTTTCAACACCAAATTTCATGAATTTTATATCAAATTGAAGCCCTAAACTAGAAGAACATGAGCTTACCTCTTAGAGGTCCTACAATCGACGAAAAGTGGTCAGAAAATCTCTGGAAAATTCTGACTAAACTAGAACTCGTGGAACTGACCTATCTCGACATCCAAATCCTCCAAAAATTGTCCCCCGGACCCTATGGAGTAGTTTTAAAACTCCCTTAAGCTTTACAACTCCATGAACTAACCACAATCATGACGGAGTAACAGAGCACCATGCCTGAGCTCTTAGGTTCTCAGGTTCCTGTGATCCGTTCTTTGATCCAATGGTACAGATAAATTCGTGAAGTCACCAAAAACACATTGATGCAAAGCTCAAGCTTAATCGATGAAGTTTGGATGGTGTTTAAGAGTTGAGGGCTCGGATTGTACGGACAAGGAAGAAGAGTCGAGAAGAGAGAAGAAGGAAACAAAGTTTGTGCGTGTGGGTGTATGTGTGACTAAGCTACGAGATTGGGTAAAAATAGAAGAGCATGGCCCTGATTGGGCCATATGATTTAGGGCTAACAATTTAAATCAAAACAAACCCACAATTCTAATTGGACCCAAGAAAGTAGGAGGTACAGTAATTGGTCCATTTCCTTAGCCCGCTTATACCTCCACCACACATCGTTTCAAGGGAAAAATCGTCATTCCCACGGTTTAGAAGATAAAATATATTTTATTTTGAGATGGGTTGTCACAAGTCTCGCTCGCGTGATAGTCCTGGTTTTAGGGTTTTTGCTCACATATTGGTGCTCTATGTACTAATTGAGGTGATTGTGTTCTTGAATTTTTCTTTTGTTGAAAGTTGATTGGAAGACTTTTCTCTAGAAATTGATATTACATTAAAGGCCAATGCCATATTAGAATGTTATATGAAGAATTGATAACGATTTGTTTGAAGGCCGATGCCAGAATTCTTGATTTTGTGAAGATTGTGTTGATTCTTGAAGGCCGATGACAAAGTTGAGATTTTTCTTTAATTCTTGCATAGTTTCTCAGTGTTGTGCTAGTCGTTGATCTATTTGCTTGATTGTCGTGTTCAATTTGTGCAATTTCTCATCTGGTTTTTTCTTGCCGCCTCATTTGATAACTGGGTTTTTCGTGCTATCTTCTATCTTTTTCTGGGTTGCAAATTGTTTGAGTATTTTTTTTCGAGTTAAATGCGGCTATTAAGATGACTTCAATGAAAATTGAAAGTCTACTGGGAATGATTACCATAAAATTGAATGATGATAATTTCATCAAATGGAGTTAGCAATTCTGTTCTGTTCTTCGTGGATATGATTTTCTTGATCATTTCACTAGGGAATCTGTTTGTCCTCCAAAATTTGTTCTTACTTCTAAGTTGGGTGTTACCAAGGAGATTAATGATTCATACAAAGAGTGGGTCAAGACTGATATGGCTTTGTTGAGTCTTTTAATTGCCACATTAAGTGATGATGCAATTAAACATGTTGTTGGTTGCAAAACTGCTATGGAAGCTTGGAATGCATTACAATAGATATATGTTAGTTTCTAAAGTTAGTATCAATCATTTGAAGGATGAATTACATACTATTCAAAAAAAGGGAGATACAATTGATAAGTATCTTTTAAGGTTGAAAGCTATTAAGGATCAGTTACAAGCTGCTGGAGAAAAAATGACTGATAATGATCTCATTTTTGCTGCTCTTACTAGATTACCATCTGATTATGATATGATTAGAACTGACATTTTATCTAGAGACTCACCAATCACTCTTAAGGAGTTTCGGGCACAGTTAACAGGGGCAAAGAAGACTATTGAAACTAGAGTGCAAATTTAGTTCAGAATATGGCAGCAATGTATGTTAATGCTCATTCTCCACATGGTAATGCTGTGAATGCTTTTGGTTTGTCTAATTCTTCTAGTAGTAGTTCTCCATCTCCGTTTTCACAGCCCTATGATACCACTCTTCTGAGTTCTGGTACTTCTCTCCTACCTTTGCCACAACAACCTTCTGGTGGTGCTCAGATTTATAATGGTGGATATTCATCTAATGGTAATCATTTTTAGTCTAATGGCCATTTTGGTGGCAGTTCTAATGGTGGTAGGCCTTTCCATGTTAACAATTACAGACCTAGAGGCAATGAAGGTTATAAACCACGATTTAATGGTTCTAGAAATGGTAATACTTGCAACCTTGGTCTGGTAATTCTTCCAACATATTTGAACAAATTGCTAAATGTCAAATCTGTTCAAGGAAGGGTCATGTTGCTGTCACTTGTTTGTATCACAATGATAGTACTACCAATCAATATCTTCAAGAGTGTTAAATCTGTGGAAAGCGTGGACATATTGCTCATAATTGTAGACATTGGGGCAATTATGCTTATCAGCACACTCAACCTTGTTTGCAAATTATGCATACCAAGGGTTTAATATGTCTCCACAACAATTTTCTTCACCACAATTTCCTCCTTCACCTGATGTGGCCATGTATCCTTCACAACAGTTTCATGTGTCTATTCCTTCTCATCCATATGGTCCATCCCAACAGTTTTCTTCCCCTGTTGGCTTTCAAGCTATGAGTACACTGAGTTACAGTGCAGGTGCTTCTGGAGAGTCTTGGATTGTTGACACTGGTGTTTCGCATCACATGACTCCAGATATCCATGTTCTCGATAAGGCTACACCTTATGAGGG